GATAAAACTTAAGGGAGTTAAAGAACACAAGTTGTAAAAATAAAAGAAAAAATCAACCAATTTTAAAAGTATTCAATATGTTTTTCTTTTTTGTTTTTCTGTTGGTTTTTTGGTTTGGTTTGGTTCTTGCAGGGGCCTCCTGGGGATTGAACCCAGGGCCTAACACATCCTAGGCAAGCTCTCCATTACTGAGCTACCTCCCCTACACCCAACATACAATATCTTTATGATTTTTTTGGCAGTGTCAGGGATTGATCTTACTGATCTTAAGGCAATATTTGTTAAACCAAATTATGAAAAAATAATGTCATAATGGACAATTTTGATAAAATCACCTATGAGAAAAAGAATTAAGATGTGCTATATACCAAGTCCCCACAATAACTGTAATCATTATATACTGTAGAAATGTACTAATAAAAATTAAAGGCTGGGGGCCGGTGATTTAGCTCAGTGGTTCCGCCACCTGCCTTGAAAGCGTAAGGTCCCAAGTTCAATCCCTGGTACCAAAAAAAAAAAAAAAAAATTAAAAGCAACACAAAATTGATTATGAGAAATACTAAAAATTTCTATCTAGCCAGACATGGTGGCACATGCCTGTAATCCCAGCACTTGGGAGGCTGAAGCAGGAGGATGGCTGTGATTTCAAGGCCAGCCTGGGCTACATAGCAAGACCCTGTTTCAAAAAAAGTTTTTTCTGGGCCAGGGATTTAGCTCAGTGGTTCTGCTGCCTGCCTCACAAGTGCAAGGTCCCGAGTTCGATCCCTGGTACCAAAAACAAAATTGTTTTTCTATCTAAAGGACTCCTTAAACTGGGGCATGGTGGTGAATATGGTAGTCCCAGAACTCAGGATATATACATAAAGAATATATATACATATATATTCTTAAACAAGGTTAAAATACAAGTAATAGGGAGATAGGTAAAAGACATCTGCAACATATACAAATGAAAACTACTGGTGTATACCATCTGTCAAGGACTCCTACAACCAAATAATAATGATGATGGAGATTAACAACCCAACAGAAAAATGTGCAAATGGTGTACACAATTCTCAGAAGAAACCCAAATGACCAATAATGTCTCCAAAACTACTCTATCTCTCTGGTAATCAGGAAAATGCAAATTAAGCTCACAAGGAGATTCACTTCACATATGTAACCCAATAATAACCTAACAGTCTGACCATTTTTTAGGGTTGGTGAGAATGCTGAGAAAATAGGTCTGTCATACAGTATAAAACTGACATACCTACTTGGGAAAACAACTTGACAACATCTATTCAAGGTGAAAATGCACCTACTGGGCTGGAATATAGTTCAGTGGTAGAGTGCTTTCTTAGCATGATTCATCCCTAGCACCGAAAAAGAAAAAACAACCCAAAACAAAAGTACCTATCCTCCTTGGGAGTAGCTCATTGGTAGAGACCACTTCTCTGAGACCACAGGGGGAAAAATATCTTATCCTTTTATTCAGGAAATTTACTACCAGATATGTTAGGCCATGGTTTTTTAATCCACTAGTGAACCATGATATGTTTTGTTAAACTTTTATTACATATATAACTGGAGAGGTGTTTTTTTGTTGTTGTTCTTTTTGTTTGTGGTTTTCTTCTGTTTTGTTTGTGGTACTAGGATTCAAATGGGGTATTAATATAAAATGTACTTCTAACAGCTGTGATTTACAGCAGCACATGGTGACATGTTCCAGGATGTTCCCTGCAACACAGTGTCTGTAGAAATAAAACAGTCAAAACAATACATTTCTTAGTGACAGACAAATGCAATCCAATAAATTGAGATATGTTCATGTGATGGAGCATCCACAGCAGCTGTATCAATGAACTTATCTACACAGATAAATTTTGAAAGCAAGCTGAGGGAAATAAGATGCAGAAAAATAAGTTCTGAAGCCAGTTATATGAATGTTAAAAACATTTTACCATACCATATAATATTTGCAGATCTGTGTATATGTATATGTGGGCACACACAGACAGACAGACAGATATGCACACACACACATAGAGACCAAGCAGTAAAAGTAACATGATATAAAGGGGATGCTGAAAGGGAATGAGATAGGGAAAAGAATGGTACTTGGGAGGAAAAAATAAGTATCATAATAATAATTTGGGGTGATAGAAACATAGATGGGCCCAGTGCTGTGGCACACACCTGTGATCCCAGCACTTGGGAGGCTGAGGCAGGAGGACTGCCGTGAGTTTGAAGCCAGCCTGGGCTCCATAGTGAGTTCAAGGTCAGCCTGAACTGCACAGCAAGACACTGTCTTTAAAAGAAAAAAAAAAAAAAAAGGACCTGGGGATGTAGCTCAATGGCATTGTGCCTGCCTTGCAAGCGAAAGGTCCTGAGCTCAATTCCTAGTACGGGGGCTGGGGGAGAAAGTTAGTTATAATACTCTTTTCCCTAAAAAAAAAAAAAAGTCTACAAGACATTGGCTGGTTTCCCTCAGAGAGCATCACGCCACCATAGGGTGTTTGTCACAGAAGGTTGTCCTCGGTGGTTTGCAATCAGGGTAGCTATGACCAGGGTGACTGTCAGGTGCCACAGCAACTGGACATGAAGACTGATGCAGGTAGAATCCCATATAGTTTGATGAAAGGGTATACAGACTATGATTCTTAGGAGACCAACATTCATCTGCAGGACTGAAAAGAAGTTCTTGAGTTGAGGAAAAAAGTTGCAGAGAACAAAGCAAAAGAAGTCAAGAAGGACCTTCAGAAACTGTCCTTAAATAAGGACATATCTGCTATCTGTGGCAGGTTGTACTACAGCAGCAGTTCAGACACTCAGAACACCTGCTGGCATAACAAACATCTTTCCCCACACCCTTATCCTCTAACCTAGTGGTGGCAAACCTCTGTGCCCCAGCCGGCTCTTTCTTATCATTGAAAGCACCATCACTGCCCTAACACAACTGCAAGACCACAAACACTCAGGTGGCCACTTGGGATGGTGAAGTGGCTTCATAGGTAACTGGGCCTAACATTATCTACAGATTGGGAGTCGTGGCAAAGGACATGCATTGTAAATGTGCATACTAATAAGCATCTGTGCTAAAGTGGAGTAGGGCTGGTGAAATAGGCCATCCACCCAATCCTTTATATGTAGGCAAGTTCACACTGTGACCAATAAAGACTTGGCCAGTGGCTTTACCTGTATAGTAAGGCACTGTACACTACTAGAAACTGCTGTTCTAAAGGGACATATCTAAGTTCAGCTCCCTTCCAGAACTGTGACCATAAACCTAGAGGTAACTTTTGTCCTTATTGTTCTTGACAGCCCAATTCTTGCCATCTGCTGTACCCATGGCATTTAACTACATTTGCACACGGATGCTGAGAGCTTGCACATGGGCTATCAATGTCTGCTTTTTCAAGTGCTCCCTGCTGCAAAACATCCCAGTCACATGTGACTCTCTTCTTAAACAGTGGATGCAGGCACTGAAAACGCTCCAATAACCAGGGGGCCCTACATTTACTCATCCTTTACTATAGAGGGGTTGGAGAAAGTGTCCATCACAGAGGTCTGTAATGTCTAATAGAATGTCTCCCTAGAATGTTCTCATGGACTGGGAAGACTGGAACATTCAGGTACAGTTCCTTCCCATTTCCTCCACAAAACTATCCTTGGTTTGTCTCCTTTCAAGGAGCGTTCTAGAATTTTAGAACTGAAGATTCTTAACATAGGAGAGAGGACTTTGACATTATCTGAAGACTAAGACCGTATCTTGGTCAACTTTCTAACCCACTCACCTTATCTAGTCAAAACTTATAAAGTATGGCCCATACCAAGATTCATCTTTTTAGAGCTTTTCCTCTGACTACATGAATGATACGATCATGAACAGTTTGTGCTAATAAAAAGTTCTGTGAATGATAAAACATGATACACATGTGGGAACTTTCACAACCATTCTCTCCCTAGAGCCTCACATAACTCTTACAACAGAGGCACTAGCGTGGAGGAAATAAACTCGCAGCTAAAGTGACATGTCCAAGGTCACATACACGCCAGGAAATGGCAATGCTGATCTAGATTCCAGTTTTTAAATGGGATTCTCTTTCTACTACCCTCCATAGAGGTTAAATATTCCTACATACCCAAGAAAAATGTTAATTCTTGGAGGCAGATAAATGCCATTTCTAGGAATCCTTCTCAGTTTCAAGTATTTATTTAACAGCATTTATCAAGCACCTACTATGCATCAAATATGGCACACAGTGTTGGGGATACAGCGGCTGAACAAGGGCAGAAACGTCTGCCCTCAGTTTAGTTCAGGGCGACGATAAACGAGAAATAAATGTATAAACAAAACAAGTGACAAGTGCTCCAAAGGAAAGAGCAGTGCCACAGGGGAAAGTGCATATGCTTTTTGTGAGCACTATTTCAGAAAGGGTGCCCAGAGAAAGGCTCTTAGAAAAGGAACATTTAAGTTGAGATCAAGCTTGGACTTCAACAGGCACTTAACGAAAGACACTTTCCCACAGAACTAGTTCGGAGAAATGCAAAGGAGAAAAGGAAAACGCGTTCAGCAGTTCCGTATGCACAGTGGCCGCTCCCAGGCCTCCACCCTCCGCCGCCAGGCTGGCTGGGAAGCGGACAGTTCCCGGCCTATCCAGCCGCCGCCACTAGGGGGCCCTCCCACCCCTAGAGGCACTGGAGCCCTAGGCTGCCAAACTGACGCCCGATACCTAACGGTCCAGGCCTCGGTGACCTGGCTACAGGCAGAGGCCAAGGGCAGCGCCGAGAGGCCCTGAGGCCCTAGGGAATCGCGGAGGGCACTAGACTCCTCAAGGAGACGGCGTCCTCGAGATTACAAACCCACCACAGGTTGAAGCCCGCGCTCCCTCCGGGAGAGCCCATTTCCGGCGCCTGCAAACCGGAAGTATCGCCTCGTCCAATCCTGATCCTTCCTCCGCGCTCAATTTTAGGAATACTTCCTTCAGTATCAATCAGCACTCAGGAAATGCGCATGCGTCGTGAAACAGTAAACTTTGACCTGGAGACGACCTCTTCTCTTTCCCCCTCCCTTGTTGGGAAGATGGCGCTGTCCAGGGTGTGCTGGACTCGGGCTGCTCTGTGGGGTTCGGCTGTCGCCCCTGGACCTGTTGTCACCCGGAGGCTACAACTTGGTCGCTCCGGGCTTGCTTGGGAAGCCTTCCGGTGAGGGACCTGGAGAGATAAAAGCACTTTTGATGTCCAGTCCCTCCAGTGGCTCAACCTTGCTTGCTTAATTCTCGGGGTTGCACGCCTTTGCTCGATTTTTTTTCATACTACAGGATTCACACTTCGATCTCCGCTAAGGAACTGGTTCCTGATCCGTGGACTCTCAGTGCCCCATGTTGTCTATTCTCTCCCGCATGTCCTAAGCTTATTTTTCAGCCTCCTTTTTTCAGTTTAGGTTTTACCGCTGCTATCCAGATCCTGCTTCTCCCTCTGGCCTTAGCTTGCAGTGCAGATTCCCCAGGACTTGCACGCTTTCCAGGCTCATACTACTTCCTGACTTCTCTTACTGCTTGGCTTCTGCCAAATCTGTCCCTCTCATTCTGATTGTTTATGTCTCCTTGAACCCAAAATCTTCTTTGGATTTCAAGTTTCAAGTCATATAATCTCTGAGATTTGTATTTTACACTAGAGACCCCAGGTGTGATGGGGTTTCTAGGATTGGTTCCCAAATAGTCTCTCTGATCTTCCTTGTAGGTCTTCGAAACTTCACCTTTCTCCAAAGTCAGATATGAAGAGCTTGATCTCTTATGTGGTGACCAAGACAAAAGTGATTAACGGGAAATACCATCGTTTCTTGGGTCGTCATTTTCCCCGCTTCTATGTCCTGTACACAATCTTCATGAAAGGTAAAAAAAAAAAAAAAAAAAGCTATAATAGAAATCCCTGAATCAGTTTTGAGCAATGTCAGAGAGTTAGAATAAGTAAAATTATTTGCAGGTTCTGGTGTGGGGGTGTGAGCTGGGTTGTGTTTTGTTTTATAAATGTTTATTCAACTAATTCTTATAAATTAGCAGTTCTTGAAAATATTTCTAGAAAAATGTTGTGAGAGACAACTTCTGAGAACATGGAAAGGAGGAGGATATAGGTTTATCCTTGTATTTTTCTTAACCACACTCCTGGCTGTAGAAGTTCCTTGTCCTGCACAAGGGCAAGGATCTATGGCTCCACAGAGCTACCCTGTGACTTACCCTTTGTTATGGCCCATAAAAAAATGTGTCCTGATGCTTTCTACAAACCTATCTTAGATATCATGTTGTAGTGGAAATAGCACCACATATATTTGGCTTCTGAATGTTCAGGTTCAACTTAGAGATATGCTAGTTACTGAGAAATTACATAATGTCAGATATTCACTCAAGCCAGACTGCCTGATTCAAACCCTAGCTTGTCACTTAGTGACTGTGTCACTGAACTAGCGACTTACTTCTCTGTCCCTTGGATTTCATATCTGTTATATAAAAATAGTACCTACCTGTTGACCACATTGTTGTAAAGAAATAAATAAATATATGTCAGATTCTTAGAACAGGGCCTGATCTATAATAAATGCCCAATAATGATAGCTGTTAATATTATTATATGCTATACTTAAAACACTATAATAAACCACCACATTGTCAACTCTACTAAAATAATTGCTAACTTCATGGGCTTGAAAAGTTACCTATTCTTATCTATGAAGTGGAAGTAAGAATGGCTGCCTTGTCTGCTCCCAAGGTGTATAACTAGGACCAAATAAGAAGAGGCCGAGAGCATTTTTGTTTGTTTTAAAAACTTTAATTATGGAAATCTTAAAATATACACAAAAGTAGAGAGAATAATTAACTTCCATGTACTCAACATCACATCATCTCATGGCCACTGATCTTATTTATATGCTTGCTTTTTCTTGTATCATTTTGAAGTAATCTGGGGATAATTTTGTTCATATATATGCAACCATTTTTTTAAAACTAAAGTCTTCAAGAGGGGTAGAAGGGAAGGGAGGGGAGTAGGAAAAAAAAGAAGCAAGCTATCTCATGTACAGGTATAAATTCCCTATGATGAACGTTATCATTCTGTATATCTAAAATGTACCAGCAAAATAAAAATTTTTTTAAAAATCTAAAGTCCTAGATAAATGTAAGACTTTTCATAGAATAAAGATTTTAAATGCAATCATAGAAATATATTGAATTATACTATCTATAAAAGTGTTTCAGAAAGGAGATATTAGTATCTGGCTGGGGAATGTAGGGTTAATGGAGCAAGACTTCCCTATGAGAGTTGGGCATGGTAGCACATTCCTGTAGTCTCAGTTACTTGGGAAGCTGAGGCAGGAGGATCACTTGAGCCCACAAGTTTGAGACCAGGCTGGGTAACATAGTGAGATTCTGTCTAGGAGGACAATCATTTCATACCAGAAGAACAGAAACCCAGGGTAGTTGGAAGAGAGGTAATGTGCTGGAGGAAAAAGGATGGACAGCCTCCAAAGAATTTCAAGCAACCTAATTTAAAGCTTTTATCTAATCTTGGAGTGGGACAAGTATATGTGTATGTCAGTGAACATAGAATAAGAAGTTGTGGTAAGATTCAAACTGGGTAACAGCACACTCTGTCCTCTACTTTAATGAGGCAGGATTACAGATGTTTTGGGCTGATGCCAAAAAAGCTAGAAGAATAAAGACAAATATGTGGAAGCAAAGTATAAAGTTTCATCAACTTCCATACCGGGAGATGGAGCATTTGAGACAGGTATGGGCCAGGGGCAGATACGCAGAAGTTCATGGTGAGGAAATTACAATTAACCAAGGTCTCAAATCTTTTTCGTTCATGTTTTATTTTCTTTCCTTTCATGTTCACGTGTGATTATGGTTTTCCCCTTTGCTGTAAGACCAAAGTATTGAAGTGAATGAGAACATTTGATTATTTGTCAAAATTGGGTTCATTCAGAATTGTAGCCCTCTATAGCATAGCTCCATAGTTTTCTGGCATGCTTTCTGAGTAAAGTTGTAAGCACTAAAACCTTGTTTGTTTCTCAACATATGAAAATCTCTAAGGATTCACAGGGCAGCAGGAATATAGTATTTGCTAGTCGCTTGATGAACAATTTTGAAGTTGAGAGTAAGAATCTAGGACCAATTCTGCAGTTCAGGAAGAATTCACTTCAGAGATTTGATATGTCAGACTCTATATTAGATATTGTTTAGGATACAAAAGTGAACACACTGGAGATTCTCTCCTCAAGGACCTTTACCATCTAGTAGTAGATAGAAACAAACTTGGTCTTTTCTCTGGGTTATAATAGAAGTTGACTTCACAGTGGGATGGAGGTATTATCCGTTATATGAACTTAATTTGTGTTAAAACTGCATCTGTCTTTATTTCTATTTAGTTCCGTCAAGACGTCACGAAGTGTCTTTTCTTAGGTATCATTTCCATCCCACCCTTTGCCAACTACCTGGTCTTCTTGCTAATGTAAGTACAGACTTGCATCTCCTCAGCATCTTAAGTATATTTAAAAAATTATCTTAATAAATTTTCATTTCAGAAGCTAGGCAGAGGTTATCAAACTTCGTGCTCCAATCTGCTCATCATCCCAAGGTTCATAAAAGCCAGCCGATAACCTTGGTTCCTTGGACACATCAGAATGGTAGCAGTAGGTGTCCTTGCTGCCCTGGGTGATGTGAAATCAGAGTGCGATCTTCTCCATCAATCCTAGAGTTGGCATCTCGCTTCCTGAGAGGCATAATAATTTGGGACAAATTTTTTTCTTCAGGGAAGTAATGTATTTCATATTCTGATGTCATGGTTTGATTACTTCATATTCAGAGATGACACTCTAAACTGTTACATATTGTTCCAGTTATCTCTTGCTATATAACAAACAACCTCAAAAACTTAATAGCTTAAAGCAACCATGATTTTGTGGGTCAGGAATTTTGGCATGGCTCAGAAAGGTGATTGATTTTTCTCACCCATGTGGTGTTGACAGGTTTCTCAGTGGAAGCTGCTGAATAGACTAGTCTGAAGGGCCCACGATTACTGTTATGTCTGGTACCTTGGCAGGGATAGCTGGAAGACTGGAACGGTCAACCACAGTGCCTGCATATGGCCTCTTCAAGTGTGGCAGCCTCATGGTAGTAGATCTTCTTATATGGCAGTCAGGGTTCCAAGAGTGAGTGTTCCAGTGAATAAGAATCTGCATGACCTTTGATTACCTTGTCTTGGAGTTCACAGAATCACTTCTGCTCTGTCCTATTGGTTGACTGAATCACCCAGATAGAAAAAAAAAAAGGACATAAACCTCACCTGTACATATGAGAAATGCCAGAAAACTTGTGGCCAAGTTTTAAAGCCACCACACATGATATGATTAAAAACCAAATTTGTTGTCTTTTTCATAGTGTATTCATATAAGGACTGTGCTACAGGTAGGGTGATCACATCACATACAGTGTTCAGCTTTGTCTGTAACTCAGTCTAAAAAATGTTCTTCACGTGCTTCAACTCAAAAGTTTTATCTGATTGCTGCGTGCCAGGCTGTCCTACTCCTGCTTCCATTCATATTCCATTTCAGCAGTATTGCTCAAAATTGCGCTTCGTTCGGTATATCCTTAAACCCTGGGCTAAATTTTTTTTATTTAAGAAAAACATTGAGGTAGAAAAATAGTATCTCCATCCTTTTTTCCTAGTATTCATGTCTGCCAGATGCTTGCTTAGCTCACTTTGAAAGATAGTTTCCACAAATGACTTTGTGATTCTTTTTCCTTTTAGGTACTTGTTTCCTAGGCAACTACTGATCAGACATTTTTGGACCCCCAAACAACAAATTGATTTCTTAGATATCTATCATGCTCTCCGGAAGCAGTCCCACTCAGAAATCATTAGTTATTTAGAAAGGGTCATCCCTCTCGTTTCTGACGCAGGGCTCCAGTGGCATCTGACAGAACTATGCACCAAGGTATTTCTCCAGTTAACCTTCCTGCAAACCAGGACTCTTGTTAGATCCAGTGTGCACTAAAACTAGGAAGAAGGGCTAGTCATGATCTTCCTAACATGTACCAATCTCTTACCTCTCCCAAGATACAGAATGGTACCCACCCAGCAGTACAAGATATCCTGACTCTCAGAGAGTGTTTCTCTAACCACCCTCTGGGCATAAACCAACTCCAGGCTTGGCAAATGGTGAGCACTTTGAGATTTTCTCTTCCCTACAGGCTCATTCTATTTCAGATCTTTGAGATAATACTATTTGACTTTCTTCTGTTCTGCTGTCATAGAAAGCCTTGAGCCGGGCCATGCTTCTCACACCTTACCTGCCTCCTCCCTTGTTGAGACATCGTTTGAAGACTCATACCACTGTGATTCACCAGCTGGACAGGGCTTTGGCAAAACTGGGGATTGGCCAGCTCTCTGCTCAAGAAGTAAAATTGGTAAGGGCTTAATTGAAGTATCAAGCTGTATCCCACAGTGGCCTTGAAGTTTATGAGGACTCCTTGTCTTGTTATATCAAAACCCAATCTCGGGGCCGGGGATTTAGCTCTGGTTCTGCCGCCTGCCTCGCAAGCACAAGGACCCGAGTTCCATCCCCAGTACAAACAAAAAAACAAAAAACCCAATCTTTAATCTTTCCATTTATTTCTGTCTTCTTTTTTTTTTGCAGTGTATTAAACTAGTGGGAAGGAATTGCCCATAGTAGTTTTATTTTGTATTTCTTTTCTTCTAGCATTTCAAAAATCAAGGACACTACACTTTTTAAAAAATTTATTTATTTATTGTTTTGAGACAGGGGTCTAAGTTGCCTAGGCTGGCCTAGAACTTGTGATCCTTCTACCTTGGCCTCCTAAGCAGTTGGACAACATTGCACTTTAGACCTCCTGTTTTCGATTGTATAGCTGTTACTGTAACCACACCTGAGATAAGTGATTTGAAAAGAAGAAAGGTTTAGTTTGGCTCACAATTTTGGAGGTTTCAGTCCATGATCAGTTAGCCCTGCTGCTTTTAAGACAGGAGCACATCATGGCAGGAAGTGCATGGCAAAACAGAGCTGCTTACGCATGACAACCAGGAAATAAAAGGGAGACTGGAAGAGGTATCCCACAGGGCACACCCTCAATGACCAGAAAGTCTCAGGAGACTTCTCCTCTTAGTTTCTGCCTCCTCCCAGTAGCATATGGAGGGGTCTAAGCCTCCATGGACTCTTGGGGGCCATTTAAGATCCAAATGATAGCACAATGCTTCTTTACTTGTTATCATAACCATCATTAGTTCAGGTTCTCATGGTGAAAAGTTTCATATGGGCATAAAGTTGTAACTTTTTAAAGGAAATCTAGGGTTATTTGTATATTTCCAATTCCTTGGCATACTCACCACATGATTATTCAGGACCATTTCTCTTCTGAGTGCCATAGGCTTGCTATCTCCGTGGCCTGAATTCTACCCATATTGCTGAAGACAGGTGTCGAACTTGGCTGGGGGAATGGCTACAGATTTCCTGCAGCCTGAAAGGTAAGACACATTTCTGCGGTTACACCACTGAAAGCCAAGTCATTTTTGTATTTTATTCTGAGATTATTTTGTGGTTATTGAGTACTGTGAGGCCTTTATCTAACGTGTCTACTTGAAAGGGCACAAATTCACATGCCTACTCCATGCCTAGGCAGGTAATAAAGGAGACCGTGTAAGACAGGAGACAGTGGTGGGATCATGGGAACCCTGGAGGGAGGGCGCGCTATCTGAAGCAGAGTCTATCAGCCTTGACACCACTGACATTTTATTCTTGGGGAAGCTACCTATGCGTTCCCAGATGTTTAGCCACTTCCCCAGCCTCTCCCCACTAGATGCCACAGAACCCCTTTGTCCCCAGTTAGGACAACCAAAAATATCTCCAGACGTTGCCAAATGTTCCTGGGGCTGAGAGAGCAAAGCGCCAGGCAGAACTGTCCTAGTTGAGAAGCAGTAATCTACAGACATCACACTTACAACAAAAATGCTGTACTGGCTGGAAAAAGTTATCAAGCTTGAGGGTAGGTATCAAGCCTTTTGGGCTCTTGTTTGGAACCTCTGGCTAAGTCTTGGATATTTTTAGGCCTTTGGCTATCAGGGTAAGTCTACTAATCTTGGAGCTGAGAAAGTCCCTAAAGTGCCAAATTCTACCAGAAGAATCCCAAAGTGACAATGGTGTTTAGTACCATTGGCACCACTTCTGTCACAGGAGAATTGAGAAACAGATGAATTGGAAAAAAAAGAGATGAATTTATAGAAAGAGTGGGAGCAAAAGAAAGCATGCATACAGGGGCTGAAATAAAGCAGGGAACTTTAACAGTAGCCTCTTAATGCCACATTAATTGCTACTTGGTTGGCTGCCTCCAGTTTCAATTCCTATACATGCAGGCAGTTAGAGGGCAAAGTGTTCGCTCGCCAAACCACTAACACTGACGGTGTTTTCAGAAACCGAGCTGTCCCTCTTGCTGCACAACGTGGTCCTGCTTTCTACCAACTACCTTGGGACAAGGCGCTGAGTGAACCATGGAATGGACGCCACTGTCCTGCAGTCATATAATATAGCAGTGTGGGACCAAAGAGCACTTGTCTGCAGTCTGTGTGCACGGTTAGGTGTGCAGGAGGCCAAGGAGCAGGTGCCATGGGCTTCACAGTTGTCACCCTTGTGGGAACTAGACATTCCGCTTACAGCTCAAACTAGAGCCCTTTTCAAGGGTGGCCCATTTGAGGTGTCACATGTCTCCCTCATAGTAAGCTGGAGTTGGCAGCAACCTCTGTACTAGGCTTTTGCCATGACGTGTCACTTTCAGGTCCTATATAGTATTTTGCCCTTGGGGGAATCATTTCACGTAAGATCCATCAGCTCCCATGTTCTTGACAACTGGTGCGTTTTTCTGTTAAAGAACTTCCAGCTGGTGCGAACATTACTAGTGAGCCTGGATCATTTATATCCATGCATGTACTTCCTTCAGTGCTCCTTTTTTTTCTTTTTGGTACCAGGGATCAAACTCAGGACCTTTTGGTTGCCAGGCAGGCACAGTGCCATTGAGCTACATCCCCGGCCCACCTTTGCCTCATTTCTGATATGACTAAAAGCAGGATTTTTTGGTCCTCCTCACTGGTGTGGGTTAACTATTCCTTTTCCTTACAAATTCCTTTGAACATTTTTTTTTGGTTACCAGGGATCAAACTCAGGACCTTGCGCTTGTGAGACAGGTGCAGTGCCACTGAGCTAAATCCTCAGCTCCTGAAAAAAAATTTTTTTTTTAATGACTTATGGGAACATTCTGAAGGGAATGATTAAAAAGGAAGTGCTGCTTGACCTCTTCCCCAAGGTTTACAGCCTTCACTCCCACATTGTCTTAACTTTTGGGCTGTTGGACAGCCCCTAAGGGTCTTCAATTCTTTGCTACCTCCACTGTGTTGCAGAATCCAACTGTAACTGACAGTGGCTTCTTTGGGCCATGGGTCAAAACCTTAAGGTACTGATTACTGCCCTGGAAGACCAGGAAAGATCTGCATCAAGACAGTAAGTTGGACATGGCTTTTGTGTGTACTTCCATGATCTGTAGTTCTATAATAACTTATTCTAATGCATGAAGCACTGTTTTTAAACTCAAGTAAAGACTACCTGAAACCAGCTGATGAAGATTACTTATATACACTCTAATCATTTTGCTAAGGCTCCTTTTATAAGTCAGATTTAATTAATAGATTAATAGAGATTTAATTGGTTGGAATAGAACCTTCTGATAGGATGGAAAGAAGTTTTGAAGAAACTGGTTTGATCTTCTGGTGGACATTTTAAGGTGGTAATTAGAAACAGAAAAAGGAACTACAGACAAAGGCCTAAGAGGGCAGGAGCAAGATGTGCTCCAGCTAGAGGTATATATGAGCAGGTGAGGCAGGATAGCAGGCTCTTGGTGCTCCAGAGAGAAGATTCTACACTTCCATCACAACACGTTCCCATTATCAGCATTAATTCCTAATTGACCTAATTAGTTCTGGTCAATTAGGAACTGAAGAAGCATCCTTTCTCTAACAACCAACTGTGACCTGCTAAGATAAATAACACATCATTCTTTTGAATATTTCTTTAATATTACATTTAAATATTCTCTTTAAATACGGCATTATCACAATGTAAAGAACCTAAAGGGGAAATAATTGTTTTCAGAGAACCAGACAAGCTTTGGATTCACATTGAAAATACTACTTATGTATACAGTATGTGAGAAAGCTGGTAATAAGCTTCATTTCTTTTATCTAGGCCTAGATTGAGTGGGCCTGAAGCAATCCATTTCTATGGTCAGAGGTCTACCTTTTCTAACAACCATGAGCTATAATTTTGTCCCATTTAGGTAGCACCAGAAATGAGATGGACTTGGTTGTAGAAAAGGCCCTTTGCTTGACAAGAGTTAATGCTAAATGCTAACATTTAGCATTTGAAGTTTGGAGTTAGTGCATCAAAACTGTATTTAATGAAGGGATGGGCTTAGAAAGTGGAGTTTTACAGAAATATCAAATATCTTGTGGGTTGGCAATGAGTTTAATAATTGCAAACAATTTCATTGGATCCCAAAGGCTAATGTCTTTCTTATTGAGCAGTTGGAATCTGCCCACTAAATTAAGCTGGCGCTTCATAAGGAGAGAATTTGTAAAGCTTCCTTTTCCTTCCAACAAATTTTCAGAGTCTTTTCTCCATGGAGCTGAATTCCGAGGGAAGCTTCAATCTTGTGTTTGAGAGTCCCGTCTAAGGAGGGGGAGGGTTACTCAGTTTGGAAGAATTATCTAAATCTCAGGTACCCTCAACTCTGTTTTATGAGCCTGGGGGGAGGGGAGAGATATAGACCTATGCACCTAATTGAGAACTCCCTTTCTAACATAAAACCAAACAAAAACAGGAATGAACAGGAAAGGCGGAATGGATTAAAACATGTATCTGTATTACAAAGCCCTTGAGGCTCAGATTTTATAGGTGAAATGCTGCTGACAAATAGATAGGGGTTGCTTTAAGACACCAGAGCCTTAACTATCCCATAAGAAAAGGGTTTATGAGCAATTAGGAATGAACAGTTATCTCCCCTACCAAAAAAAGTTTTTATTCTTTTCATTCCTGGTTAATAAATCATACTGGAAGTGAAACATGGTATATGCTAGAGAATAGTGTTTTGCTCCCTACTGTGTCCATTTCAAACAGGCAAAGATAATCTATGCCAATAAAAAGAAATCAGTGGAGTTCAGTGAAGCAGATCTTGAAACATAAGCTAGACATAAGAGGAACAGGAACCACTGACAAAGGTAAGGACAGAATTTGAGTTCCATCCTATACATTTCCAAGGCTACAATCAGATTATGAATCCTTTGGAACTTGGGAGTTGTATGGCATTTTAATAATCGGTTTGTCTTCCAATATCTATGTTAAGATGAAGGAGGTCCAGTAAATATGTGCAATTCTTGGAGTTGAATTGGAATAGTGTAAGAACTCTAACCCTGTATATCCAAAAAGGATCATGAGGATAGATACAAAAAAAAAACCCAACAAACTAGTAGGTGTCCTTAGATTGCCATATCATATGTTCCATTTAAAGCTCAGATCTTGGGGCGGGGGCTGGTTGGGGGTTGGATGAAAAAGCAAACATGACACCAATCAAATCATCTCTCCAGACAACAGGCTGTTCCTGTGGCCTCCTTTGGACATAGTTAATGCTCTGTATGGGCTCCTGTGAGATGGGTGAGACCCGCCTGAAGCTACCCAACGGAGCTAGTGTTAAGATAAAAGCAGAAGCCTTGGGCTCTTTATACCACATCCCCAGCCAAGTTAGCTCTTTTTCTTCAAAGGAAAAAATGATAGAGAAAAAGAAGACAGACAAGTTAAACTCTAGTACCTAAAAGCATGTGAAAGAAATACAGTAATTCAAGTTACAGACCAGGAATCCCCAGTGTGGGGAGCTGGTCAGAGAACACCAAACATGTCAAATATTAACTTATTTACCAAATAGGGGTCAGAGGAAGGCAGGTTTAAATTTTTAGAAATTCTGGAGGTTCTGTATAGAAGCAGAGACGCTTCTAGCCCTCCTCTCTAGATCCTGCCAGGTGATCTTGGCAACTGCATGATGAAGACACACCAAGATGGAGTATTAGAATAACCAGAGGCAAATGAGTTCGTGCCCTCTCTGGAGCCCAGGAGAGCAAGGGCTTTGCCATGCTGTTCAAATTCTTGTGTTCTGGTCCCTACATAAAGAATAGCTGCTTGAATTACCCAGCTCCTCCTGTGAGATCCTACCTCTTTGTTCTGATGGCCCAGAAAGCCCAGTATTGGGCACTGTGCAGCCGCCTTTAAGACTCTATCCCCAGGTCGAGCTGGAGCTGGTCTCCTTGGTACTGTTTCCCTTTTAAAAAATACTTGTACAAACAATCCTTTCCCACCCACTCCTCCCAAAGACCCCAATAAAATAACGTGGGAGCAGCAGCTGCTTCTACAGTCTTGAAGTGGCATTAGATAAAATAGGGGAATAAATAGAAAGTGGAGGAGAGGCCCTATCTCTACCACCGTGTCACACCACCAGAGGGAGTTCTAGGGCAGACTCTTCAGGGGGCCGGTCCTCCCCCTGCCGGGAACTCTTCTCCGGCCCGCGTCCCTCTTCACTGTCCCTGTGGAAGGGGAGGATCGAGGGGGACCAAGAAGGGTGGAAGTCTTCCTTCTCGGGCTCCTTGGGGTTACAATCTTCCGGCAACAGCGCTCCTAGAGTAGGTGTTTTTCCCGCCTCTGATTTACAGAGGCCAGCTGGGTCTGTGGGGCTGCAAGCCACCAGTGAGGTAACAGGGAGAGAGAAGACGTTGAGGTCCTTCTCCTTGGGGAAAGGGGCTGTGCCTTCTTCTCTACCAGGCTCTCCTTTCGCTCCCACCACTGACCTCTGCTCCACCTGGTAGAAGACCAGGGGCCCACTGTTCAAGTAGGGTGGGCTGCTCACCGTCGAGGCCGACGGGTGGTCCGAGTTCTCAGCGAAACACAGGACAGAGGAGCCTGGGGGTAGCTGTGCCTGGATGAGAATGGGGGCGGGGAGGCCTGGGCACAGCTCTTCGGGAACAGCCAGCGGCTCCTCCAGGATACACACCCCCAGGCTCGCCATGCTCGAGTCCAGGCTGGCACTGGAGCCACTCGAGTCCTCCTCAGCCTTCAGCCGCTCCAGTTCCTCCGCACTCTGCAGGTGCATCACCGCAGTCTCATTCTCAGCGAGGAACTCCTGGAAGTCCTGGGTCTCAGAGTCCTGGGCCCCTGTCAGGCTGCAGCCCGCGGCAGGTGAGGGCTCCTCCTCTGGGGCCGTCGGGCGGCTCACCTGCCGCTTGCTCTCCAGCTCCAGCTTCATGATGGTGTGGAGGTAATGAGTCCGGACTCGGATTGGATTAAACTCAATGCGCCCAGCCATGTTCCCGCAGCCATCCCTGGAGCAGCCACACGGAAAGGACATGCGATCCACCTAAGGGGGGACAGGGAGGTTGAAGCAAGATGGGACCGAGACCATCGGATCCAACAGTGGAAATAGAGGCATCAATTGGCAAACACAGGCAGCTGGGATTTGAGGTCTCATAAGAAGAGAAGCGAACAATGCAAAACATAACGTGCAGTGCAAGCTAACTGAGGACTAGATGGTAGTTATCCGAACACGTGCATTTGGATTCCAGCTCAGCCACTGATGAGTGGCGTCACCTCAAAAGAGTCACTGACTTCTCCCTAGGGCTTTGTTTCCTCTTCTAAGTAAAACAGTAGACAAAAATCACATCAAAGGCTCCTTGCAGTTAGATAGTCCAGAGATACCTCTCTGAATACTGACAGTTCTCAGAGAAGAAATCGGTGTGCCTCGGGACTTCCAGAACTTACCTGGTTCAATGAGACAACAAAAGACTGGGCCCAAGCCTACGGCCTTCTGCAATGACAGGCATGGGACAGTGAGTGGAAGACCCGCTAGTTCAAAACAATACACTCTGGGGAAACTAAGCAAAGACCCCTTAGGTTTGCTAAGGGGCTAGAATGAAGGTTCAAACAACAGACAGTATTTCCCTACCTGCTTAATTTTTTCCCTGAGAGTTTAACTAACTTAGTTCTGAAGCAGTAACCAAGATAATTAACTTATAGACCAGAGATAATTGGGAAAGGAGATGCTTTCTACCTTATCTCCCCTTCCTATTCAAAAGGAAGGGCGAAAAACCCCAACACTACAAGTAAACATTAAAAACATGAGTAAGCAATAAGCATGTACGCCTACTCAAAATCTTTCTAAAACTGTTCTCAGGTCTGTGAATAACAGACTGACTGATTATGGGACCTAAATATGAAAGACTCTATTTGGCCCGGTCTGATGTAGCTGTTTGTTACTTGCTTAAAAATAAGAAATAAGGGGCAACCCACACTCCAGTCCCCCTGCAGTCCCTTTTAGACAGAAGCTTTCCTCCTCTCAATAAATTTTTCCTACTCAACCTCCATTGTTCCTAGAATTCATTCTTCAATTTTAGAAAAGATGAAATGAGTTTCAGATACCTAGGAGGTTTGGGAGTTACATCTCTTCCCCCTACATCAATAGGATCTCGCTAAGTTGCCCAAGCTGGGCTCTAATTTAGGATCCTCCTGCCTCAGCCTCCCAGAATGCTGGGATTATAGGCATGTGCCACCATGCCCAATTTTTGGTACTTTATTTTTAACGGCTTTGCATTATAGGTACAGGTACCTCCACAGCCTAAGAATCTCGTCATGCTTGTTCTCTTTCTTGGTGGATAAGAGCTGTGGAACTGGAGCATGTTTACGGATGGGGACCCCATCTCTCTGGATGGGCAGCCCCCCATCTTCACTGGTACCCACACCACACACCCTGACCCTGGGGGAGATACACTACCCAGCCAACTTTGACTGACCTGGCATTTAATCCCAGCCTGGCTACAGGCACACGCCTCTGGGTCACAATACAGTCGACAATCACAACCACACTCTTCTCGAGAAAGGCGGATGGCTCGAAGTTCTTGCTTTTCTTCAGCATCAATTCGGTGAACCCCAGAAGCCCTCAACAGGGCCCGTCGCCGTTTGGTGGGCAGAGGCTGCAGGAAGAAGTAATCATCCACCTCCACGTTTTCCACATCAATGTCTTCATCTGAAACGTCATCCAGCGTCAGGCCATCGGCCTCCACCGACTCCACTGTCCCATTCTTGGTCAGCTGCCAAGAGACGGAAAGGTCAGCCTCGGGAGCAACAGCAACACCAACCTCCTCACACGGAGTGGCACTGAATGTTGGACTTGTGTGGTGAGGGGAAGATCTGCTCCCCACACAGAAGCCACTCTGAGTGCGGCTACTGAACTCAAGAACATGAAAACGAAAAAGCAGAGGGAGCTTCTGTTTGTGTGCTGAGGGGAATACTGGGGATTGAAACAAGGCCTGTGCACTGAGCTACATCCTCAGTCCCCCCACCCCCTTTTGGGACAGAGTCTCACTAAGTTGCCCAGGCTGAGCTTGAAATTCGGAAGCTCCTGCCTCAGCCTCCCAAAGCACTGAGATTACAGGTGTATATCACCATGCCCAGATGAAAAACTGAATTTTTAATTTTAAATTAAATAGCCACATGTGACTAGTAGCTACACACTGGTCAAGAGAATAAAAGCAGAGAGACAGAAAATCTTATGTGGCCCTACCATCACCCTGTCAACACAAAGCACGTCATCTTTCTAGGTCCCAGTTTCTCAAAAACCTGTCTCATCTTCCATCCTAGAAGATAACCTATTCCATCCACCACTCCCTCCAATCCGACACTTCCCCTGACTTTGGTTCATTTGCTTTCTAACACAAGGCATATTACTGGCTGGATGTTCCTGGGATATACAGATATGCCTGTAGAACACCCTTCAACTTGTATGTCACAGAATCCAAAATCACCTTCTAAGGAAGGGCACATTAAAATGTGATACCAGGCTACCAGGTCTTTGTCAGCAAATCTGAGTCCCCACAGAGAACAATTATCAGTGCATGCTAAGAGCAGCTGCATTTTATTGGTAGGAGCAAATTATAATTAGCTGCCAGAGAAATCCCTCACTTATATCCCAGGATCTAGAAGAATGTACTCTTTCTCCCTTCTAAGCCTTTTTTGACTTTAAAGAAAATCACCATGTATGAGGTAGGGTGGTATAAATAATACTGAGTATGCTACTGATGGGCAGTAGTCCAGGTTATCTGTGCCGATACAAACAGAGCCAGGAAAGGGAATGTGTGTGTGGAAGAACAGACTGAAGACAATCCGTAGCTGAATGAGTTCTGCAAACTCACTAGAAAATCCAAGCCAAGAAAAAAAAAACAGGGCCTCACAGTCCCTGGAGCTCTATACATTGCCAGCAAGATGGGAGCCAGGTGACTAGAGTGTTTGGTTTATTTCATCAGACACCCAGAGAGCAGTGCTGGGAAAGGAACAACTCCTAGGAGAGATGTGATGCAACAGGCCTGAGTAGGAAGCCACAACCGGGGTGGTTTGGGAGCAGGGGTGAAAAATGAGGAGAGAAATAATGTGGGGCTTCCAGGGGGCTTTTCTGTAGACCTTAGGCTTGCTCCTGTCTGTGCCACAAGGGTTGGCCTCCTCCTAAGCACCACCCTCCCTCCTGCTAACCTCTCAAAGGAAAGAGATTAGAGATGCAACAGAAAGAAACTTGTGTGTAAGGAGAGAGAATTTAACATCACAGAAGTGGCATTTCAAATCAGTGAGAAGTCTTTTACTCATTAAATGGTATTAGATGCTGAGGCAGGAGGATCACTATGAGTTTGAGGCCAGCCTGGGCTACACAGTGAGACCCTGTCTCAAAAAACAAACAAACAAAAAACCCCAAAAGGTATTAGGAGAACTGAATATTCTTTGGGAAAGAAAAGTTGACTAATTCATACCATTCAATAATGGATTCCACATGGATAATGTTTTAATGCAAATATTAAAGTAATAAAAATAATTTAAAATATAGGTAACTAAAGCTGCCCACCTCTAAAGAATGACTGGAACAGCCCAAAAGGAAAACAAACATTAGACAGTATGTACAGAATACATATATTTTTTAGATCAACTGCCTCCCTCATAGAATATAAAAGAGGGGAAACCTTTCAAAGAAAAGAGGACACTGGACCTGGGAAAGGTAAAGCAAGGGTTTTCTCTTGACATGCAAAGATGTTTAGATGCCACCACTGCTGGTGTACACTAAATATTCTGCTAATAAGTAGAAATCCTTTATCTCAGTCTTTGGTTTGTCTGGCTTTGTCCCTGGAATTCCTACAAGGAGGGGAGGACAACAGAATGGTGTCCTGTTTTGACAGATCGTTCCTCTATCAGTTAGAACCTAGGAGTTCTCTTCTAGAAGGGAACTTTAGCACTGATGATAAGTGTTTATTTGCTTAGTTGTTGCTATAGCAGCAGGAAGGTGACAGGGTCAATGACAGAATTCCTCAGACTCAAGTCAGGGAAGCCTGGATATCATTCTAGTTAGAAAAACAGGTGGAGGCTTTAGAAACAGGCTGAGGGAAGCAGACAAGAGCTCTCAAAGAGACAAAGAGTAAGACCTAGTTTTCCTACACCCCTGCCATCGGTTCTGCTCTTCTACCGCCCCCTGGTGAGTATCACCCTCAACCCTGGAAATAACAGCCACCTCTTTTAATACAGGTCAGCATGCTTTGGGCTCATCACAAACCTGGGAGAAACTTTTTCTGCACAGTGTGGGAGATCAAAGCCAGGGCTTCATGCACGCTAGGTAAGTGTTCTACCGTTGAGCTACATCCCCAGCCCTAGGGTAACTTCTGAGGACTAGTGGGAAGTGTGGCCTTAAAGCGTCCAAACAGTGCTAAGAAGGATAGCACACGGTGGCTATCAAGAACCACCTGAGGGGTAGGGGCCTAGCTCAACGGTAAAGCACTTGCCTAGAACGCATGAGGCTCTGGGTTCTACCTCAGCAGAGGAAATAAATAGCTATCTGAGCTGGATATTCTCCCAGCCCCTTTCTCCTAACCTAAGGAGCTGGTACTGTATCAGATGGTAGGCACAGTACCGTACAAAACTAAATAACTACGTGATAATGCTGTTGTTTGGATGGAGAAGACTATCACCTATAGATGACGGAGGTTACAGACACAGAAGAACCCTTTCAGAGTGCCAAAGTTCCCAAACCTGTTCTATGCATTCATGCAAAGGAGATTTTTTTTTTTCCAGTACTAGGGACTGAACCCAGGACCCTGCACATGCTAGGCAAGCACTCTACTACTGAACTGTATCTCCAGACCTTTTTAAAATTTCATTTTGAGACAGAGTCTAAGTTACCCAAGCTGGTCTTGAATTAAAAACCCTCCTGCCTCCGCTTCCTGAGTAGCTGGAATTACAGGCAGGTCCTACCACATTGAACCGGGACAATCATTTGACAGGAAATTGAAAATTGTGCTTCTTTGGGTTCCAAGTGACAGACGTAAAAGGCTTTAGGTAGTCATTGTTTAATCTTTTTTAAAAATTTGATGGAGGATAAGAGGGTGAGGAGGAAGAATTCTAGAGAAGGTATTTTTCTATCTCTGGTAAATATCTCCTCCTAAGACAAAAAGAAGGGAGGCTCAGACTGACATTTGATTCTAACTCTGAGACTTATTAGAAAGATTTGGGGCCGGGGATTTAGCTCAGTGGTTCCTCCGCCTGCCTCAAAAGCGCAAGGTCCCGAGTTCAATCCCTCCCCGCCAAAAAAAATCAATGGACTTAGCAGATGTGGTGGTGCACACCTATAATTAATTCTAGCATTCAGGAAGCCGAGGCAGGAGGATTCCAAGTTTGAGGCCAGCCTGGGGTACACAGTAAGTTCAAGGTGGGCTGGACTACATAGTGAGACTCCATCTCAAAATGAGCCTAAATGATTTCCCACTTTGTCTTAACATACAGGAAGAACCAGAGGCCCCAGATCCCTTGGGCACCTTCATTTTCTTTGCATGAAGTTTCTCCTCCTTCAGGTGCTCACGAAGAATCTCTCGATGGTTCACTTCCTGCTCTTGGGCAAACTCACAGAGTGTGTAGCTGCGTACAGAGTTATGGCGCTGGGCCATGCCCAGAGAGCTACCACCCTGGCTGGGCACACTGGTGAAACCCTGGCGTCGGGCGAAGTAGTACACAGTCACCTGGTCAAAGCGTACATTCTTCCTCCGAAGCTGCTTCTGCCGCTTCAGGATGGATGTAGCTAAGAAAGGAGCAGAGACAGGTTACTAACGCAGACACTGGCTTTTTGGGACCTCACCCTTTACCTATCCTGGCTTTTAACTTTTCAGCTTCAAATATACTCTCTATACTTAGAGAATTTTCTAGTATTTTCGAATCATAAATGCACAGTTGGAAGGGGCCTCCCCCCTCCGCCCTTTGTGTTTTGTAGACAGGGTCTCGCTATGTAGCCCAGGCTATCCTTGAACTCACAATCCATCTGCCTTAGCTTCATGAGGGCTGTGATTACAGGCATGCACCACCACACCCAGCTGGAAGGGGCCTTGAACCTCAGCTGGTTCATATCATTGCTTCCAAATTGACTTCACCTAAACAGATGACCACAAAATCTATTTTTAGACAGCAGATGGAATGAGAATTGTTAGGTGATCTTTCAGGATATAATAATCTGCAGCTTCACTGGCCACAGGTGGCAATTTAAGTTAATTAAAATTAAATACATTTTAAAAATCAAGTCCTCAGTTGCACTGACCATATTCCAAAGCTCAAGAGCCACATACAGCCAATGGCCACCACTGGACAAGGCAGATGTGATACAGATACAATACATTTTATCCTAACAGAAAATTCTATTTGATAGTATTGTCTACAGCAGGGGATGACAAACTTTTTCCCAAAAGGGCTAGGTAGTAAATATTTTAGGATGTATAGGTCGTGAGGTCTCTGGTGAACTACTCCACTGTGTTGCCACAGCATGAAAGTAATGAGACAATGGATTAAGTGTGTTCCAATAAAACTTACTCACAAAACCAGGCAGTGGTCCAGATTTGGCCCATGGGCAACCCCTGATCCAAGGTATCAGAAGTTCTTTCCAAGAACTAATTAAGCCATAAGAATTAAAAAATCCAGGGCTGGGGATTTAGCTCAGTGGTTTCACTGCCTGCTGCGCAAGCGCCAGGACCCGAGTTCGATCCCCAGTACCAAAAAAAAAAAAAAAAAATCCAGCCAGGCATGGTGGTGCACCTCTGTAATTCCAGCACTTTGGAGGCTGAGGCAGGAGGATCCCTGTGAGTTCAAGGCCAGTCTGAACTACATAGCAAGAGCATGTGTCCAAAACACCCCAACAAAACCCCAAACCAAAACAAAAAGAATTTAAAAATTCAGGGTGGGCATGGTGGCACATTCCTGTAACTCCAGGACTGGGGAGGCTAAAGCAGGAGGATCTCAAGTCAAATTCAAGACTACACAGTGAGACCCTATATAAAATAAAATAAGATAAAAATGATTTAAGAAATCTGCCAAGCATGGGGGCACATGTCTATGATCCCAGCACTCAGAGGCTGCAGCAGGAGGACTGCCCCAAGTTCAAAGCCAGCCTGGGCTACATATAAAGAACCTGTCTCAAAAAAGCAAAACAAGAAGAATTAAGAAACCTGGAAGTGCCCTGGTTGTATAGACTGTAAGCATTTATGTCCTGCTACTGCTAATTTCCAGAAAATCCATGGAAATCTGCTAGGGGAAGGTAAGTCCTGAATTCCTCCTCCTTCAATCTACTACAACCCCTTCTGGGGACCCACATGCCACAAGACATGTAGCATCAGCTAGAATACATCAGGCCTGAGTCTAGGTTATGGGAGCACTGAGGTCCTCTAAAGAGCAAGGGAAGATAAGGGTGAATCCCCAAGCTGGCAGGAGCTGTCCAAGAGCAGCCAAGGGCTCTGTACTTGGGAAGCGTGGGTGCAGATGAGACGGAGTGGCTCACTCACGTGTGAAGCTGGCAGTTGTAGGAGGATTGAGGCTGTCGCAACTGTCAGCACTGTCGCTGCTAGAGATCTCATCATCTGAGTTGGAGACTGATGAGCCCACATCCACATCATCAAACTTCCTCTTGAGACCCGAGCCCGTGAATGCATCCATTGGTTTCAAAGGGTTTCCTTGGGAAGCCCCTGCTCACCACCAGCTGGCCAGGTGCATTAGGGTTCTGCCCAGGGGAAAACAGGAATCAGCACTGGTGTCCTAAGGCAGTACCCCACCACACTTAGCTTTCTAGTTCAACAATGATAGCACCTGGCCTAGCACTGATGTCTGATTTCTCAGGATCAGGTCATTTCTCTCTACTGATTCTAGCTAGTATTTTCCTACTTTTACTTCCTCTAAGTTCCCCCAGTCTCAATGACTGAACAACAAGATGAGTAGCAGCGGCACCTTTCCCAGTAGAGGGAAGGGCTCTGGTTCCAAACCAGCTGGGCTTAGGCTTCATTAGCCCAGGGTAAGAGCTGCTCTCCTCTGACCACACAGGAGTTCTCCAAGGGACCAGTGGGAAGGACTGGGGACCAAAGGCAGAGTTATCCTTTGCCCACACCAAGACCAGACCCAATGATTCTGCCCTGTCATAATATAGTATGGCATTTCCCAAAGTGTGTGTCTTACTAAATACACTAATTCTATGGATATTAATAGTCTTTACATGGAAATAGGTCACTGTGTCAAAATAGTTTGGAAAACTGCTTATGGCTGGACACAGTGGTACACAACTGTAATTCCACCTACTCGGGAATCTGAGGAAGGGGTCACAAGTTCAATGTCAACTTGAGCAATTTAGTGAGACCTTGTTTCAAATTTATTTTATTTTATTTTATTTATTTATTTATTTATTTTGGTACTGGGGATCAAGCTTGGGACCTTGTGCTTGCAAGGCAGGTGCTGGCACCACTGAGCTAAATCCCCAGCCCTCAAATTAATTTTAAACCAAGTAAGGTGGTATACGCTTATAATCTCAGCACTCTGGGAGTCTGAGGCAGAAATACTAGTTTCAGTCCAGCCTGGGCAACTTAGCAAGACCTAATCTCAAAATAAAAAATGAAAAAAGGGCTGGGGATATAGCTCAGTGAGAAGGGCCTGGGTTCTATCACCAGCACTATTCCCCCTCTCCCCCCAAAAAAAGAAGAAAAAGAAAACTGCTCATGGTGGAAACAGCTTAGAAACCTTTTTATATACTAATGAACATGGCAAAAGCTGGGAGAAAACACAGAATGTAGTGTTTCACAAACCTGCACAATTTCCAAAGTATGTTAGGGGGCAGATAATCTTCACAGCACACTTTGGGAAATACTGCGCCAGGCTCTCAATTTTGAAGGACATAAGCTGTCAGGAAAACCCTTGACCTAGATCTTCACAAGTATAAAATGTCTCCCCAACCTCCTAAAAAGGGCAAATTTGCTACTAAGGAAAGGACCCAAAATTACAATTTGCGCTGCCTTCAAAACCCAGACTGGAGATGTAGCTCAGTGGTAAAGCACTTGCTTAGCACACTCAAGGCCCTGGGTTTCATCCCCAGCACCACCAAACAAAAAAACCAGAATCTTTCCCAATCATACTGGTCTATCATCATCCTCTGTGCAAGGAAAATGTAGCTTTACAATCTTTGCCCTCTGAAAAGAAACCACAAGGAAAACAAATAGCAAAAGAAGAGGCAATTTATTCTGGTTATATCACTATGGCTGCCAGTGTTTTCAACATCTTGTCACATAACCCAAGGAGTCTGAGAGTTCATTTCCCAGGTCCACATCTTTCTCCTTCTCTGACTTTGGAATTAAATTCCAGGTCCACGTCTTTCTCCTTCTCTGACTTTGGAATTAAATTCCAGGACATGAATCTGCTCAGGAGAAATGCCGTCAGAACTGAAGCCACGTGTGATGAGATATGAAGACTCCCTCACTTTGCCTCAGCACTGCCAGAATCATCTCAGACTATGATCTCACTAGTTGCTAATTATGCAGCAGGAATAACAACGCTGCCCAGACCGACAGGGCTGCATTACTGCAGAGCAGCTACCCAGAATATATACACTGTGGTGGCAAGAGATGCCTGCTACAGAGCTACTTTCAGAAGTATTTGGAATTTGGATCAGCTGTACAAAGACAACCAAACATAATAAGTATTTTAAAGTTATTTCCTAATCTATCCAGATCACATCAAAATTCTGCATTCAAGTCACAAGATATACCTAAGAAACCTCAACCATCATAGGTCCCAGACAAACATGTTCCTCAAATAAATTTGGCCTGGAAGAGAGGTGAAAAAAACATCAAGTATTTGATAAAATTACAATTAAATTTTAAAATATCCTCAAACTATCAGTTCTGTTTTTCAGATTAGAATCTGGGGTCATATTCTGGACTTTTTAATGAGTTTTTAAGATACCTATAAACTACAAAATTTTTTCATTCCATTCTATAAGTGGGCACAGAGGTGTGGACAGACACACTTGTGATTAAGTACTTCTGTGGGTGCAATGAAAAAACAGTAATGTTGACTACTGAATTTAATCTTTCTTTTCCACTTAATTAATACCTTATCAACCACAAAAGAAATCTGGCTGAGCTGAAAATCTGCTTTCTCAGAAAGGGCTTAGTCCCCCTTCAGTTTCTAAACTTCAGATAATGCTAGTACTAGATAAACGGCCCTTTCCTTGCCCTGGAAGCACTCAGGGATTTAGGATTGGAGGCAAATGTGCACTCCTGTTCTTCCCCCGGGTGTCCCTCTGCTTCCAGGAGTGTGAGTTTCCTTTTGCTATTTCTCATCTCGTCCCACATGGGCTTGGGTTTGGTCCAAAATCACCTTTATTACTAAAAAATTCCACTGCCTTAACTAGTTGCTCTCAAGAGTATCATTTCTCTTTAGGTTATTTTCTGTGCACTAGAATGCAATTCCAATCTCTTCCTCCTTTATTTGGTATATCGTCCCCCACCTCTAGAGGTTTCTGGACAGTGATGGAGATAGGTAAGAAAGAAAAAAAGGTATGAAACCTAGGACAAAAATATTTTCCTTAAACTGTATGCAAATAATCAGAATCTGTGTAAATTATGTGCATATTGACCTATGATCTAGCTATCTCATTAAAGGGCTGGGGATGTAGCTCAATGTATAGAGCATTTGCTTAGCATCTGTAAGGCCCTGGGTTAAATCCCCAGCACCACAAAATTCAAAATTACTCCATAAACTAGGATGGCACTCTGGAAAATCCTCAAGGAGGCCAGGGATTTAGCTCAGTGGTTTCGATGCCTGCTGCGCAAGCACAAGGACTGGAGTTCGATCCCTGGTACCAAAAAAAAAAAGAAAAAGAAAATGCTCAAGGAGACTCCACTGCCCCAGCTTTCTGCGCCTTATCCAGGATCTGCTGGCCTAACTTTCTGACATCAACTCCATTACTTAAATTTTAAAAATTCCATCCACTGTGTCCTGACAACCAATATAGGTTTACATCTCAACCCTTTCCTTTTTTCAACTCTGATGTGAACTTGACTTATTCGATAAAAATGGTCATGGGCACCAAGAACAAACCTTTCATCCACTTCCATAGGTCCCTGAAGAATCTTTCTTTGCAACAGCTAGTAACTAGAATAGTTTCCATACTTTCTAATTCACCAAGTTATTCTTTCAATCCACAACTAGAAAGTCATTCTCACCTCTCTCAAATACTCTCTGGTAGAGGATAAATGCATACATTCAAGATATACATTTATAAATTATAATACAAGCACTTAAACTCATACGGAAATAATCAAGGTGAGACTGGAAATGCAGGTCGTAATTGACAGTTAACTGTCAAAATGACCAACCCAAGCAACAAATGCTATTGGACAAATAAATGCATCCCTCTATAAAAGCTTTTAAATGCCTGTGAAATGAAGTCATCTGACATTCTCTAGCTTCTTGCTTTATGGTCTTTCCTCAAGTGTTTCTAACTAAACATTTCCCAAAGGTATATGAAGTAGTTCAGAGTCACAAAATATAGAAGACATTAAGCTAGCACCAAATAAAACCAGCATGTGTATTTTACTACTCGATCTAAGTTTTTTGAGGCCTATAAGGACTCTCATAACCATCAAAACAAACCAAAAACCCTAGAATATGTGGGGCTAGCAAAAGGGACTTCCCAGGAAAAATTTGGTGGAAGCAGAATGTACTTTCAAAGTTTAAATAATATAAACCTCATTCTCTTTCTTTTTCTTTTCTTTTTTTTTTTTTTTGAGGCAGGGTCTCGAGTTCAGGCTGTGCTTGAACTATGTAGCCCAGGCTGGCTTTGAACTCACAGAGATCCTTCTGCCACAGCCTCCCAGGTGCCGGGACTGCTGGCATGCACCACCACTCCTGACTAATCCTCATTCTTAAAGGAGTCCAAAATATTAAGATGAGGAACATCTTACAGGAGAAAGCCTCTCCACTTAAGGGGAGCCCAATCTTCTACTAAAGGTCAAGGTACCTAGTAAGAGCAGGAGCACTAGGCTGTATACTTGGGTTAGAAGGAGAAAGGCTTGCTGCTAAGTGTTACGCTACACCTGAGTAAGATGGCCTGCCCTGTTTCTCTTTTCAATGTGACTGATTCTCAAATACTATGAATTTCATGGCTCCATGTGTCCTCGTGATCACCAGGATCACAAGCTTATAAAGTACTCAAGTGACAATCTCCTGTAGGTATTTAAAGAAAGTCCCCTTGGCCCTCCAGTTTTTACCCGTTCACTCACACAAGGTTTGAATCTGGCTTTTCCATGTCTAAACTATTATCGTAGTGAGGGCACAGGCTCTTTGGGAGAACCGGAACATGATGCTGCACTACCTCTCAAGGATATTGAGTCATTTAAGATGGGTACACCTTGGCTTTGGAGATTTACAAGACAGAAAACCAGTAAAGAAGGAAAATGTAAATCAACCATGGATTTACCGTCAACTGTAAACTGCTAGACAAGAGGACAGTGTTGTCTCTTGGGGACAACTTCTAACCTTTCATAGTGAAGAAAGGTTTGTGGGTTACATTGTCGCTCTAAACCCTTTTAAAATGATCAAGACCACAGCACTAAAAGGGATGGATGGCAGTAGGCTGCGTAGTTTGGGCCTGTGCAAAAAGATAAAAGCTAGCAAGCAGGGCAAACGATGCTTTCATTTTCACACACAACGCTAGAAAAATAGGAGACATTAGGAAGCAAACCTGAAGAGTCAGATCAAGTCATAGTTCCCCTTAATGAACACGCCGGATGAACCCTTCAGCTCTCGACCCATTTCTGATTCCTTGCTAACCTTCCCGCTCATTCCAGTCGTCCGCAGCCCCTGGTGAGCCTTCCTCATCCCTTCCTGCCTGCTACTCACAAATTCCCAACCACTCCTCCCACATTTTCCTTTATTTCCCCTCCCCTTCCTTCACCTCCCTCCATCCTACATCACTCTCCACTCCACTCCGAACCTCAATCCTCATCCACAATCCTGCCGGCTTCCAAACCGCCCATCTGTCTCCCTCGAGCTGCCCCCACAGGCCGGGCCGCGTCCCCGCTGCCCCTTGCTCCCACGCCTCTTCCCGACTTGGTTCCTTCCCAGCGGTGTCCTAGCTCCCCGCCCCCCGACCGCTCCCGTCTGAGCTTCCCTTTCTGACCCCTCCATCCGCACGGCTCAGGGCTTGACCACTCCTCCACAGCCGCCCGAGGGCAGATCCCGAGAAAGGACGAGGCGGCACCCTCCGCCCCGCACCCCCAGGCCCATTACCGGCCCCGCCGCAGCTGCCTCCTCCCGAGATGGTCTCAGCCGCCCCCGCTGCCGCCGCCCTAGCCCGGGAGGGAAGGAGGGAGGAGCGAGCGAGTGCCGGGCCCCGCGGCGACGGTCGGGGAGCTCCCAGGGCTCCCAGGGCGGCAGGGCGGAAAGGGAGGGTGAATGGGCAGGCCGGCCAGCAGGCGGAGGGGTGCGGGTGGCTCCGGCAGCGCGGGGAACCCTGGCAGTAGAAGACCAGAACCGCCCCGGCTCCGGCTAACAATAGGCTCCGGCCGCAGCGCTCCGGCTCTTATAGGCGCCGGCACGTCCTGGCCGAGCCCCGGAGCAGGCTGGGAAATGGAGTCTACGTACGGGCCCTGCGCCCAGCGCAGGCCGGGAGTTGGAGGCGGCGAGTGCGGCAAAGCCGGAGCAAGCGGGCTATCCGGCCGCAGAGGCGACCTCTGAAGTGCACCCTGGAAAAGCAAGTTTGGTGCCATTGCAGCCTTTGGAAGGGAAAGGCAGGAGACCCTCAGCTACACATCTTCAACGACTAAACGAATTGTCCTCTAAAGCTCTCTTTTCCTTTCTCCATAATCATGACTAAGGAACATAATTCTCGTTCATGGGGCTTAGTCTAGAGCAATATCAATTCGCTGCAGCCTGCCCAAGTTATAAAGAAGAAAATACAAGCAAATATCTTCCGTTATCTACTTAAAGGATAGAGTTAGGTGTCTAGTTAAGAAAACATTTTTTTTCACCATGGCCTTTGACGATCTTCAGAACTTTGCAACCCATTTTAAGACGGAGAAAACAAAGACTTGAAGTCAGAAGTTACTTGTGACTTGCCAGGGACACATAGCCTTAGTTTCTTTTTGTTGTTGTTGTTTTGGTACCGGGGATCAAACTCAGGACCTTGCGCTTTCGAGGCAGGCTCCAGAACCACTGAACTAAATCCCCAGCCTCATACTCTTAGTTTCTTATCTCTGGTTTCTCCCTCGACCTATAGGGCTCTGTAAGATCTAGGTACTTCCTGTGGTTCCTCCTCCCACTCAGTCTGTCATCCTTTGTCCTTCTACTTTCCCCCTTCCATATCCTGCTTCAATACACTGGCCCACTGGTCTTGCAGTTCCTTCAGCAGAATAATCATGCTCTTACCGTAGGGCCTTCTGCCTGGAACACTCTTCCACCGGCGGGCCACGTACTCCTTCGCCTGATATCTATCTATTCAAGTGTCCTTGTGTCTGCCAGCTTCCCTAGCCATATTTCTAAAATAGTGCTTCTTAGTATCTCTTTGCTTCATATTTCTTAGTCTTACCATCTGACATATTTACTGTTCTTCAGTCTTCTCTCACTTGACTAAATTCCATGAGACAAAGTAATTGTTTTTTTACTGTGTTCTCAGCACCCAGTACAAAAACCATTTGACATTTGGGAGCACAGTAGATATTTATTGAATTGATGGATGGATGGCAGGATTTAAACTCAGGTTAGAGCAGGGCATGGTAATACATTCAAATAATCCCAGCACTTGGGAAATTGAAGCAAGAAGATGTGGAGCTCAAGGCCAGCCTAGGCTACAATAAGCAAGACTCTGTCTCAAAAAGCAAACAAACTTCAAGTTAGGATGGTTCTAATTCCTACTGCATTTTTCACTGCAGCCAAGGCTCTATGAAGCCAGATCTACTGGCTACCAAATCATCCCCTCTTTAAAATTATGAGGTTGGCTGGCTTAGAAAAAAATCCCAAGAATTCTAGTTTTCTCCCCTGGGTAACATCAGAAACTACTAGCATCTAGGAGGCAATGGTGCAAAATGAAAAAACAGCAGATCACAATAAAGCACTCCTTAGGGTACTGGGCACCGATCATCTCTTTATTGGCTGAAATTCAGAGGCAATGACGAGATTAACAGCCCAGAGCCTAGAGCTAGACTATTTAAATACAAAGCTTAGGGAGGAATGGAGGGGTTTGAAGGGAGGGCTGGGCAAGGGTGAAAAATAAGAACCGAGAGAGATTATGTAAAGGTGCAAATTTCCAATGATGAACGTCATTGTATTGTATACCTAAAATGTACCAATGATTAGAATGAATAATCGATGATGTAAAATAGGAAGAAAAGGTCCAAAGGGGTAGGAGTAGTGGGAAGGGCAGGGGAAAGGAAAGAAGGGAAAGGAAAAATGATGAGAAATGGAAAAAATGGAAATAAAGTCTTTGTAAATAGGGAAGGGTGGAGGGGGTGAAGGGAGGGCTAGGAATGGGGAAAAAATAAGAACCAAGATGCATTATGTAAAGGTACAATTCCCAAGGAGAAATGTAATTGTGTTGTATACCTACAATGGACCAATAAAAGAATTTAACAAAAAAATATATATAAAGTTGTATCCCTCCACTCTAGTGTGGTATAACCATGGGGAAAAGTATTTAAGTATTTAACTTCTCTGCCTTAGCTTCCTCATCTACAAAATGTGGACAATAGTATGCATCTCAAAGAATTTGTGAAGGTTAATTACTATTCTAGGGCCAGGGATTTAGCTCAGTGGCACCATGCCTGCCTCACAAGTTCAAGGTCCTGAGTTTGATCTGTTACCAAAAAAAGAAAATAATAAAGAAGGTTAGTTACATTTCTATACTATACTATGTATTGTTTACAACCCAATCAGTGCTATGTTAAATGTTATTTTTAATGATAAGTTTTCTATTCAGTTGTTCAAAAAGTTCTGTCTGTTCTTCTAACAAGGCCCCAGACTACTCTCTGTAGAACCAGCAGGCTGAGTAACAACAAAAGCAGCTTGAAGAAAAAAAAAAAAAGCAGCTTAAAGAGCATGGTGAGAAGGCTAAAAAAAAAAAAACAGTTTCAGAGGCCCACACATCCAGAGTTCCAGCAGTCGTGGAAATTTGTCAGGGTAACAACAGCCCCAATGCCCAAGCTTTGTTGGTTAATGCCATCAAGCTAGAAGACACCAAACCAAGGACAGCTCATTCTTTGAGAAGACAGTACAAGTCCATTAGGCAGTAAGCTCTACATTACTTAAAAGATCACCTGGACCCACAGAAAACTTCACAACTATTTATCGTAGAATTACTTACCATATTTTGTTGTCATGATACAATCACTAGGTAAGTTACAGTGGTGCCAGTTCACCCAAAATAACTGCAATTCTGCCCCAGCCTAAGTAGGTCCTAAAAAAGGCAAAGGTCAGTAGCTGTTCAAGAAGCTCCAATGAAGGACAGAAATAGAACTTCTATGTTGTTGAAATATAATTGCAAAGAAAAGTGACAAAAAGCTAATATTACTATGTAATACTGCTAGACATAGTGGCTCAGGTCTGTAATCCCAGGATTTGGGAGGTTAACACAAGAAGATTTCGAGTTGAAGAACAGTCTGAGTAATTCATTAAGACCCTATCTCCGGGCCGCCAGCCTGCCTGGCAAGTGCAAGGTCCTGAGTTCAATCCCTAGTACTGCAAAAATAAAAGATCCTATCTCAGAATAAAAAAGGGCCAGATAGGGCCAGGGATTTAGCTCAGTGGTTCCACCGCCTGCTTCACAAGCACAGGGACCCGAGTTCGATCCCTGGTACCAAAAAAAAAAAAAAAAAGGGCCAGGGATATAGCTGAGTGAGAGGTCCCAGGTCCAGTCCCCAGTGCCACAATAACATAACACTGGACCATGCTGAAACATACATATGGACCAGCTTAGAAGGCACAAATTGCAAATAGGTGGTTTGTTTTGAGAGTAAAAGTCAAAGAATAGGAAAAGGTAAAAAATTATGAACAGGCACTGAAACAGCAGCCACAGATGAAAACCAAAAGTCAAATTTTATGTCCTGGGCACAGTTAATATATTAGCTGTGCAATTATGGCTACATATTGAGGTGATTTTAACAGTAATATCCTAAGTTTATTGAGCAACTGAATAATTGTTCAGTACAAAACTCATTATCCCTTTTAATCTTTCTAAGAACCCTAAAATTATTATATTTTTTTTTTCAGTGTTGAAGTTTGGTTTGGTTTTTTGAGACAGGGTCTCGCTATGTAATTCAGGCTAGCTTTGAACTCTCTCTATAGCCCAGGCTGCCCTCCAACTCACAGTGATCCTCTTGCCTCAGTCTCTCTAGTGCTGGGATAATGGGTGTGCATCACTACGCCTGGCTCCGTGTGGAAGATGGCACTAGGGCCTTTTACATGCTAGAGAAGTGTTCTCCAGCCCCCAGCCCTAGACAGGACACACTTAATTAATAAGCTCAAGGAAGTGAAAATCTGAAGCAAGAGTATAAAGATGACTAGGGAAAGATATTAACTAAATCCTTAACGGAAACAGCAGATATTAGATCTCAGGAAGAAAACAGGAATCTACAATGATTAAAATGAACAATGTAGCCAGGGAATTTAGCTCAGTGGTTTCACTGCCTGCTGCGCAAGCGCAAGGACCTGAGTTCGATCCCCGGTACCAAAAATAAAAATAAAATAAAATAAAATGAACAATGTATACCTTATCATAAGTCTATGAAAACATCCACATAATAAACTAGTTATAACTCATGTCCCAAGAGATCTTACTGTACGTACAATGACAATAAATGGACAGTACATATTACCTTAAATACCAAGTTCCCTTATAACTGACATTAATCCATTTTTAAAAACTTAATTCATATAAAATTTTTCAATCTCTAAATTTGAGAATACAAATGGCAAACTTGCAATTTCCACGATAATATTGTTGATATTTTCGCTTAGTCCTATGTCCATAAGGAACAACAGAGGAAATCTCTGGGGAAGAGTGAAGATGTAGAAAGACAAAGGAAAAGAAGTGGAAATAAATACAAGTTCAAGGGTGAAGGTAAAATAGGCCAATAAAAGAAATTTTAAAGAGTATGGGGAAAACAGGTGCTCGTGGTATAACTCTATATGTCACATAGGACAACTTTCCCAGCACATTCCATTTTGCAGCAGTCATTTATTCCGGTCATTTCAGCCTTGGAGCTGACATGAAACAAAAATTTAATGGCAAGCATAGTGGCACCTGCCTGTAATCCCAGCACTCAGAAGGTTGAGGCAGGAGGATTGCCATGAGTTCAAGGCCAGCCTGGATTACACATAAAGGGCCTGTCTAAAAAAAAAAAAGTATCACAAACCAAAACTAAATGTTATAGCAGAAAAAGCCTTAACCCACAACTAAGAAAACAGAAGAAAAAAGGAAAAAGAAATTTAAAAAGAGGATAAAAAATTGCCAAGTTGGGTCGGGGATTTAGTTCAGTGGTGCCATGCTCCTGCCTTGCAAGTGCAAGGCCCTGAGTTTGACTCCTGGTACCCAAAAAACCCCAAA